CCAGCTTTTAGGGGGCAATCCAACATTTACCCCAGTGCACCGCCAGTTTCTTTTCAGAGGAACATCTGAGTGGATTCAAACTTCCAACCTTTGAGCTGGCAACTACTTGTTCTACCACCCAGACCCTCCAGAAAAGGAAGAGGGTGGGGTGATGTGTTTATAGGAAGGGCAGAGGAATGGACATGTTTGGGCACTCAGTAAGGCATTCTACTGATATTATTTATAAACAACCCTTACCCCCACCCCAATAGCTTGGAGCGATGTACCCTATCAACATCCTCTCACAGATAAAACTGAAGCTCAGAGCAATGTACCAAGTTAATCGCTAATCAATTGCAGAACTGAAGTTCAGACCTGACTGATGAGTCCAGGGTCCTGCCTCTGTACAGTTCTCTACCTCCTGGAGCTGTTAGACGTATAAAGGCTGAGTCTTTCTAGCTGTAGCTGTCCCAACTATCCTCCCACACCCAAACTCGTCCGATGCCTGCCTGCCCCCTCCCTCCCCACCGCATTCTTTCTCACAGATTTACGGCCTTCTCCCTGCCCCGCCTCTGGAGCTCCCATCCTGATGGCCGTCTTGACCTTCCTCCTGTGTTTTACTCCATCCCCAATCAGTTCATCAGTCCCATCCCTCACGGCAGTAATTATTGCTCTCGCACACTCCTAGCAGTCTCTGGTTCCAAGCTCTCCTTCTCTCCCGAGGACGGAGGTTTCCAGTGAGTCTCCCAGATACTCCATCTTCAACATGAACCACCAAGGCGATCATTCTAAGAAAGCAGCCCATGCCCCTCCAGTCTACCAATGGACAGAAAAGCCCAGTGTGCAGAGAGAGAGAGAGTGTGCGCGAGCGCTCGCGCAGCAACAGAGCACAGATGGCAGAGAAAACTCTGGGATCCTGATCGCTTTCCATTTCCTGCTTTTAGGCCCAATGACCTAGCAGTCCTCTGATTTTAGGGTAACCTCCCCAAATATGTTTTCCTCCTTTTCGTACTAGTTCAGTAAAAGCCCTTCAATAAAGTGTGCTGCCACTTTCCCATCCCATGCCCTGTCATGCTGGACCAGTGGTGGGCAGTGCCTTCCCCCAACCACAATCCCGACTCCAATTCCAAGTTGGTAAGCCCCTTTGGATATTTAAGGGGAAAAAGGAGCTGAACGTGAAGCCACAGAGGCTACCCTACCGCCCTGCCCCCAAAGCCCTACTGTCTACACCCCCCACCACATTTGTTTAATTGGCATTGTTTCCAAGCTCGCCTCCTTGTCTAGAATGCAAATCCTTGATTATCCGGTCCCTACAGAGGAGGTGTACTACTTAATGTGTGTGAAGAAAGAGCTCAGAGTCTCTTTTCTGGGGGGCCCCACCCCCGTGAGATACTGGCTTACACAGAGAGCCCAGTGTGTTACATAATCTTATTCAGGCCAATGCCATCTCTGCTTGATGTCTGAGCCATCTCTATGTTCTTAAGCTGGACTGTAAGTTATGTCCCTGGGGTGGGCCGCTGACGTGTATGCAGCTGTTGGCTGCTTCCAGTTCCATCTATGTTTATAGACCCTTGTCTCCCTCTCAAGTTCTCATTTTACCTCTTTGTCCCATTTCTAACAGCTGCTTCCTTTCATCCGTGTACCCTCTCAACTTGTTGATTGCATGGCTTTAAATCAAAGGCCGAAGCCCCTTCCTCAGTGAAGCCCCTCACATGAGCTCTAGGGCCACCTCTTTGGGACACTTTCTCCTACTTGGTCCACCGGCACCTTGTGGGTCACTGGTTTTTTGTGTGTGTGTTTTCTGGTAGTTAAGGCTCATAACCAACTTTGGATACACAGAGTTGTGCCCTAATACTGTAGCTAACACCATTTATATCTTTAGAAGTAGCTCTTTTTTTCCTACGACACCCAAAGGTGCTGTCCATTGGAATGCAACCTCCCAAAGCAGCAAAGCCCCATGGGGGTGAGTTACGGTGATGAGGTTCCCGGACACCATTCTGAGGAGGACGGGTACTTGAGATTCCTGGACAAATCTCTCTCCTTGCTCCAGATCTGTAAGGGCACAAGAGCCACCACTTGGGGAGCGAGGTTTACCTGAGCTCTGGATGCCAGCTTAGCTGCTGTCTGGGCTGGATTGAAGACTCGGCGAGAAGACTGGTCCTTGCAGAAATTAATGTGTCTCTGGGCTGCGGTTTCATTAAATCTCCTCAGACAATATGGGCATTGAATATAATCTGGATGCCAAAGTAACAACAAAAGGCAATGAATGTCTAAACAAACAAACAAACAAACAAACAACTACAAAAAACAGACAATAGGATATATGACTTCCACTCTAGCATGAAAGAATGAGGCCCCAAGGTTGGTCTGAGATAGTTTATTTTCCAGAATAAACTCTCTCTTTCAGAAAAGAAAGTGCTCTGAGCTCATGACAATGAAGGTGTTTTGTACCATAGCAAATGACCCAGGATGAAGGATGGGGCTCGGCTTTTGCAGCCCCCCCGCCCTTCCCATCATTTCAGTGGGCCCAGTGGAAGGGATCACCCAGATTGGGACTTGCTGGCCTATTTAGAAGGTGAGACATTCAAGGACTCCAATAAACTTCATTAAAACAGCAACAACTCATCGCCCTTGGGTCCGTTCGGACTCATAGCCTCCCCATAGGACAGAGTAGAACTGCCCCTGTGGGTTTCTGAGACTGTAACTCTTCATGGAAGTAGAAAGCCAAGTCTTCCTGCCGAGGAGCTGGTAGATTTGAACTGCTGACCTTGTGGTTAGCAGCCCAACATGTTACCGCTATGCCACCAGGGTTCAATATGAGATATGGCAGGGGGACATTTGTATCTCGCCTGCACTCAATTTGTGTGTCCTTCACATGTTTACATGGTTTATCTCTTACAAAATAGATATTTGGGAAACTTTCTGTATTTGGGAAGCTTTCTTATTAAATGAATAACTTAGTGAGTTCCTGGGAGGTGCAAACATGAGGATTTTAACTGAAACATTGGAAGATCCATTCCACCCAAAGGCCTGGAGTTCTACTTGCCAAAAAGCAATCGGTTACTGCCTCGCTTGTAGATCACAGTTCTCTGCTGACAGGGGTCACCTTGAGTTGAAATTTCCACCCCAGCCACGGGCTGCTTAGCTGCTGTCGGTGGACCGAATGTAGTGCTAGAATCTCAGCACGTGAACATGGAACGTTCAAAGGGCATAGAAGATTCAAAAGCCCAGGTTGTGGTGCCGGTGGGACCAAAGTTCCCAGGGAGAGAACTTGTTTCCCACCGTGAGCTGAGGGGATGTGGTTTGAATCCCCGGTTGCTGGCAGGAACGCCACGGCTGCACATTCCCACTGAACTGCTCAGCGAGGAAGCAGAGAATCCAGGCAGGAAGGAGGCTCAGGAAGGGAAAACAAGGTGGAGGGTAAGAGAAGAGAACTGGAAAAAGCAGAGAGGAGGGACAAGGGGGGAAAGTGGTTCCAGGAACAGCTAAGACTCAGTGATCCCTTGTCCCAGGTGGCTCCTATTGGCACCCGGGCCTCTGCAGGTCTGTGTAACATCCACTGTTCTGTAGTCATCTTTCACTGGCAATTACCAGACATAATTGAATTGGCCGGTGAGAGACATGGGAAGTGAGAACGATCCAAGGACTTCTTAGAATTCGAGCCCCTCACAGTAAAGCCTGGTTGGAGCTTGTCCCCTGAAAGCAATCAGAATTTCCTTTTTCAAAGACAAAAGCCAAGAGAAAGAAAGAAAAAGCCAGAAACCCAGAGAAGTTGTTTAAGGACTGACATCACTTAGGAAACTTGAACTAGAAAGTGCCATTATCACTTGGGATGCATGTAGGACAGTGTCAAAAACAACGCTGAACTTGACTCTTGGCTTGGTGGCTCTTTCTTCACTTTGACCAGCTGGAAAGTCAAGGGTTACATCAAACATGTGGCTACCCTAAACCCTGCTCAGAGGGGTAATAGACAATGGTTACGACAGTGACTAGGTTGTTAGTCCTGTGTCGTCCTACTATGTGCTTGGCACTCTATGCCACCACGGAGACAACACAAAAAGCTCCAAGACGACTGGAGGACTAACAAGACCCTCAGAGATGATTAGGGGACTGAGCAAATAGACAACTAGCCCTCTGTGGGATGCACTGGGAGAAGAAATCTCAGGTCTCCCGAGGTCCCCAGAAGTGTCCTTCTGCACCTTCCATAAAGGGAGCAGGCTAGGAGTCCTGGAGCCAAGTGTCCACGGAGACTGGTCATACTTATTTTGAGTTCCAAATCCCTGGGAAATGGAAAGAGTTTTTTTGTGCACTAATAATCAGACCATAGCTGGATTGAGCTACATGCTGTCCCTCAACTTCAATATGAGTTTCCCTGGTCAACGACACACACAAAAACCAGCCCAAACTCACTGCCACTGAAGCAGCTCCCACTCATAGCCACCCTATAGCACAGAGTACAACGGCCCGCTGGGTTTCCGAGGCTGTCAATCTTGACAGAGTAAGTAATTTCATCTTTCTCAGGAGCGCCTGGAGACTTCGAATTGTTGACCCTGTGGTTAGCGGCTCCATTCATAGCTCACCAAGCCACCGGGACTCCTGCTGAAGCAGAGAAGGAGCAGTTTCTTTGAAGACAGGCATTTCATTGAGTACCTTTGACTCAGTAGCCCTCAAAGTCTGCAGCCTCAGCAGAAGAATGCCAAACATAAACCTTCTAGAGTACTGTCCTCATAAGATGTGGCAACATCGTAGGAATTCAAGTAATTGGAAGACTATAGCCAGGAAGAATTAGAATAAATATTAATAAAGGTGAGCTTGGGGAATAGAAAATATCTACAAACTCATGCATATCAGGACATATGTCCTTCACATAAGGCGACATAATGCTAGCCTTATGTGTTAAATTTTCTAGCACTTAAATGTGAGACTAGAGGACCAATATAAAATTGCCACACAATTGAAATGATTGCGTTTTGTGTGTGTTTAGTTAGGTTTGGGGCATAAGCATTTAATAAGGACCCAGGAAGGAATTGCATTATAAAATGATAGTTTAGCAGACAAATGCAAAGGATAAATAGTGCATTTAATGAAACTTTGGAAAAGGAACAGATTTCTAAAAAAGAAAGAGAGAGAGGAAGGAAGGAAGGAAGGAAGAGAAGAAACAAGCCAGTAAACAGTGGACCCTGCCTTGTGGCTCCAACATGATAATGAGAGACGTGTGCAGAGCAGGACAGGGCCATGGCTGCACTTACTCAACTTAAGAACCATCAGATAGCTATCAACCCTGTAGATATAAAATCTTGTTATAAAAATGAAGACATTTCTCAGGAAATATGTTTTTGCTGTATGAAACTCGCTGCCTGAGCACAGCTCTCACATACTTACTGAGCATCTAAAGCAGCACATTATTTTAGGCTGTATTTTCATTCCAACAAATTCAAACTCACTGCCATCAAGTCGATTCCAACTCACAGTGACCCTGTAGGACAGAATAGAACTGCACCGGTGGGCTTTTCAAGACTGTGAATCTTGACAGATGTGGACAGCCTCGACTTTCTCCCTCGGAACAGCTGGTGGGTTTGAACTGCTGACCTTGTGGTTGCAACCCAACAAGTAACACACTAAGCCATTAGACCTTGAGCACCAACAAATAGGAGGCAATTCTTAAGATTTTTTTTTTTCTGGAATGGAAACTCAGATTGTTGCTTTCAGATCGCTTTTACAGGATGACGATTATGCTAATTTGTTTTGTTTTATTTATTAGTTGAGTAGGAAGCAGTTTCTCAAACCTGGTGGAAGAATCGGGAGTTACTGTGCATCTTCTCCTGCAGAAAATGACCTCTTCCTCCCTGTGCCATAGCCAGGACTGTAATCTTTTTAAAATGATGTTTTTGAGGGATAATTTATGTGTCATAAAGCATATCTGCTGTGTCTTAATTTGTTACTCCTTGAACCCTTCAGTGTTGCAACACCAGCCTTGAATTTCCGGTTCCTTCTGCTTGAGAAATCCTCGCCGTACCTTGATTTTCTAGCCCCAGATCTTTGCATGGTGCACTGTAACAGTTTACCTTGTTGTCTTGAGCTGCTCTTTGGAAATTTGTTCAGCATTTTTACTTCATTTCCTCTGTTCACTTAATGACTGGCACCTGAAGAGCAAGGTTCAGAGTCTCTTCTGACGTCCTTCTTTAGTCTTTCCCTTCTTTCCTGCCTTTGACCTCTGACTTGTTTCCCTTTGTTCAGGTGCGATGTCTTTAGGGTCTTCCCACAGCGTTTCTGGGCTTTGGCCACCACGATCCTTGATGTGGTCTCCGACCTCAGGGAGTATGTTGACTCTGGTGGACCTGCTATGATTTTCTTCAGCTTCAGTTTACACGGGTGTGCTCCCTACTCAGTCAGTCCCCTTAATTTGTATTGACTGCTGATGCTGACCTTCTCCCTGGTCTCTTCATGAATGTATAGGAAGTTGCTGACTTATGGCAGAATCCTTCTAATGACTCCAGCACAAGCCAGTCTCTAATAAAAGTAGACTATCTTTTTCATTTCGTCTGCATTGTTCTTAACTTTATTATTAGCATCTTTTTCAATGCAATCTGTATTTGCCTTTGGGGGTTAGAAACATTACAGAGGAACTTACAGATATGTTTTAATACATGCATACATAAAACATACACAAAGATACAGTTATAAACTCCACTTGTGGAAGGTTCTGGATCATGTGAATTATCCCTGGAAATAGAGATGGTGTTTTCAATCAGAAAGTCAGCGAGAGTGACCGGGATGATTATTGTCTTTGTTTCTTCATAGTTTTATGTGTAACAACTCAGTGTTTCCTGAATCTGCTCATCAACAAGAAGAATCATCAGGGTTTAGGTCTGTGTTTTCAAGCAACTTAAGCTCCTGATTTTGTTTAGGAAAAAACTGCACCAAATCCCTTCATTGGAAAAAAATGTTGACATCTGCTCTCCTCCCATTTCCTCATTATTTTTCTTCTTCAGCATTTCTTTCCTCTTCAAAACCAATTAAGGCCTTATCTATAATTTCCCCTTCTTTGTGAGATTGTGTTCTTGTAATATGGACGATTTCCCTACTGGTGTCTTCCATCACATTATCTGGATCAAAAGCTTGGAATGTGTTCAAATAACTCAGCAAGCTTTTCCATATCTCCTGCATGAATTTTCCCAGAACTCCCTCCCAGGAAGGTACACTAATGATAAGAAAAGTTTATACACACACACACACAGACAGACACAAAATGCTTGTGTGATTCATTGTGATTGGAATACATCATAAATTGAGAACTACCTGTAGTTTATTTTATTCCTATGTAATCTGTCTTTGTTCAGTCTGGTGAGGTCTTTGTTCATAGTGAACAACTGTGTTGCTAAAGAAGAATTCCCAGTTAAAAAGTAATTAGTCCTTCAGAGTCCAACCATGCAACCTTGACTGTAGTCTGTATCACCAAGGCCATATTTTATAACGACTTGTCCTTTGAAGGACAAAGACGGGACCTTCTCCTCCCATCAAGAGTTACAGTCTCAGAAAAAAACAGGGCAATTCCACCTGCTCCTAGAGGGTTTCTATGAGTTGGCATTGACTCAATGGCAGTGAGTTTGGTTTGGATTTGGTTGGATTCATATCCAACTTTTGTATTCTAATAATCATAATTATCAATTCATCTTGATCGCACATTTCTATATGTTGAGCATGCTCTTCCCTTTTGGTTCTCTACTTGTAGGTCTGTGACATTTCATTATAATATTTGGCTTTGTCTTCCCAAGCTGCCTTTTGAAATGTTCTATTCGGCTCTTGGACGTCATCTTCTCTTCCATTTGCCTGAGCAAATGCTTAAGGACACGTTTCTGAATCTCTTCTGTCATCTACTTCGACCTCTTCTTTCCTCCCTTTCTTCTTAATGACCTTTGCTTTCTTCACGGATGATGGTCTTGATGTCCTCCCACAGCTCATCAGGCCTCCTGTCATTAGTGTTCAATGTGTCAGATCTGTTCCTGAGATGTTCTTGAAAGTTCAGGTGGGAAGGACTCAAAGTTGTATTTTGGCTCTTGTGGACTTGTTTTAATTTTCTTCATTTTTATCCCAAACTTACATCTAAATAGATTGCTTTACACTTAAATGTACAGCTTACATATAAGTGTACATGCCCCCATAAGATGGAAAGTGCACATATAAAATGTAAAAACTTACAGAAAAACCTAAAGCTGATAAATAGATCGCTTTATCCTGAACTCATCCTAATCCTACTTGTAGCAAGTTCCTCATCCCTATTTCTTTCACTTGCTGCACAAGCAGCTTTGAACCCACTGAAAAAGCATCAAGCCCTTTTCTTGCACTAACGCTAGGCTAAATAAGAACCGCACATACCTCTTATAACTGACCTACAAATTCGTAAAGACACAGTTAGGAACAGATCTTATTCGCAACTCAGGGACTACCCATGAATCCATCCAGCTATGATGAAGCTTATCTTTAACCAAGGTTTGAAGTCCGCTCAATTGAGAAGAGGTAGCCCCCTTGACAAATGGTGGTGACCAAACTGGGTATCCATTTACAGAAAAATGAACAAGATTCGTATCTCACATGATACACAAAAACTAACTTAAAATGGATAGAAAAACCTAAATGCTAATCCTAAAACATAGCTAAGCATCCTAATTTAAGGCATAAATCCACCATCAGATGTAACTAAAAACGCACAAAAACAGAAGCTAAATTAGATTAGTGGGATCACCTACAACTTACACTTGCTCCTCACATGCTAACCTCCCTACTAACAGCTCACATTTGCGACAACAGTGACGAATCTACTATCTGAAACCACGCAGGGAAGGAGAGAATGGATTAAAACATTGAAGACTTGAAAGCCAGAGCAATGTTGGCTTAGAATTCTGTACCCAGCAAAGTTATCCTTCAAAAGTAAAGGAGTAATCAAGATTTTTCTAAGCCATACAAAAATTGATAATAATTTATCCCCGTTAGACAGACCTGGTTTCTTATAGAAATGCCTGACACCACAGGTGTCAGAATATGGGATGAAACGCCACTCAATTGAGAATAACCAAAAAAAGTTTCAGTCGACTCACACATGAAAACTGTCAGGGACAAAAAGACTGTTGTCGCTGTGTGCCCTCATGTTGACTCATGGTGACCTGTAGTAAGTACTTCCTGATGAGGAATAAAGGAGCGTTGGTGGCGCACTGGTTAAGCGCTCGGCTGCTAATCAATAGGTGGGCTGTACAAATCCACTGGACAACCCTGCACCAGAATTACCTGGAGATCTGTCTTTGTGAATATCATAACCAAGAGCACCCTAGGCGTCACCAGTTCTACTGTCCCGTGAAGTCACTTTGAGTTAGATCAACTCAAAAGCAATCGCAAACCATGAATAATGCGCCTATTCTCTGGAGAAATACTTATTAAAGCCGTTTGCCATTTTAAAATTTGTTGTTTCTTTTCTTTTACTGTTGGAGTTAAAAGACATTATTTATAGATTCTGGATAATAAATCCTTATCAGATGTGCGTGATTTCCAAACAGTTCCTCCCATGATACAGGCTGTCTTTTCCCTTTCTTGACAGTGAATACCCTTTGATACACACAGTTTAAAATTTCTATGATGTCTCATTGCTCTATGTTTTTCTCTTGTTGCTTATGCATTTGCTGTTGTAGGGAGGACTGCATTGCTAAAATACCCTAAAGATTTCTCCCTCTTTTTGTTTATGTTTTTTAGTTTTAGCTCCCATATTTATTTCATTACTCAATTTTGAGTTAATTTTATGAGATAGTGTAAGGTTCTACCTCATTCCTCCACATGTGGACACCCACCACTATTTGTTGAAGAGTCTAGTACTTTTCCATTGGATGCACGTGGCATACCTGTCTGAAATCAATTGGCGATAGAGCCGTGGGCGCTTTTTCTTTCTTTCTTTCTTTCTTTCTTTCTTTCTGGACTCAAAACCCTATTTCCTTCCTTCCACTAGTGTTGGGTTTAGTGTGCTCTTCTTTTTCTCATTCCTCAAGGTGCAAAGTTAGGTTATTGGCATGAAATCTTCCTTTGTTAATGTAAGTATTTACTGCTAGAATTTTTGTGTGTGAGCATGTAAGTATAAAAATAATGCTGTGTATAATTTTGGTATGTTTTTATATAAAGTCTTCTCTAAGTATTTTCTAATTCCTTTTGTGATTTCATCTTTGACCCATTGGTTACTTACTGGTGCATTAATTTCCACATATTTGTGAATTCTTCACTCTTCCTTCTGTTACTGATTTATGGTTTCATTCCATTGTGGTTGGGCAGTGCACTTCATGATTTCAGTCTTGGTAAGTCTATTGAGACTTATTTTGTGACTTAACATATGGTTTATCCTGAAGAATGATTCATGCGCTTTGGAAAAGAATGTGCATTCTATTGTTGTTGGATGGAGTGTTCTATATATGATTAAAAGTCACTTTTCACATAACTGAGAAAATATGGATATGGACCAATATATTAAGTATGATAAAAATACTGTGGTTTGCAGGAAAATGTACTTATGCTGAAGAGATGCATACTGAAACAATTAGGGGTAAAGAGTTATGATGGCTACAACTTACTTTTAAGTGGTTCTTCCAAAAATAGGGAAAAAGACAGAAAAAAATATATAGAACAATGTCAACAATTCTTGAATTTCAGTGGAAAGCCAGAGTGAGTATTCACTGTACTATTTGTTCCACTTTTCTGTAGACTTGAAAGTTTAAAAAAATAGAAGTTTGGGGTGAAAAAGTTTATTGAGTTGGTGATACCTTAAGATATCTAAAATGTGAAATTTTATGTTATGAAAATTTTACTTCTATTAAAACAATGAAGAACTAACTGCTCAGAAAATGCCATCCCCTCAAAACGCACTGTGAATGGCTTCCCTCCCCTTGAGCGTTGTAGTGTGATGTTCTCTGAGACCCACAATCTCATCTTAAGACAGAATTCAGAGGAAAAGTAGAATCTTTATGCTGACTTGAAAGAAGTTACCCAAACCAAACCAAACCCAGGGCCATCAAGCCGATTCCGATACAGAACAGCGCCATATAGGGTTTCCGAGGCTGTAAACCTTTACCAGAGCAGATAGCCTCATCTCTCTCCCACAGAGCTGCAGCTGGGCTTGAACGACCAACCTTGCAGTTATCAATTCACCACTTACCCGCCAGCACTACCGGAGGTCCTTTGAAAGAAGGTAGGGTCAGAGAAATTTTATGACAATTACTTGTACAATGGTCATTGAAGTTTTTAGAGCACGTAAAAGGCAGGCAGGCATAATGACTTGGCCAAAAATCAAGCTTTGCCTCCAATGGTTAAGAGTGAAGTGTCACAACCAAGCCAAATGGCCACACACCTGGGTTGATGGACGGTGGGGGCGGAGGTGGGAGAGGCCGGCCTTCCTTAATGGCTAACGTACACTGCTTTGCTGATCGAATGGCATTGATGAAGTCTTCATGTTGTTGTCTCCAGTTTGATGTCCTCACAGGTTGAGACTGTAAACAATATAACCAACAAACAATACCAGCCTAGACTGTGCCCCTCTCTCTATTTTTAAAATTAATTAATTGATGAATTAATTTTTAAATTTTAATACATCATTTAATTGGGAGCTCTTATAACAACCCATACATCAATTTGCACCTCTCTATTACAGCTGTATCATTTTAACTTGGATTTGAATGCGCAGGAAACAGTACTATGAACTTCAGAGAGAAGTGAAACTTTGTTTTTTAAAAGAAACATGTAAAGGAGTTTGGAAAATATAGTTATGAAAATTTATAAGTCCCTGTGAAGGGAAAATAAAAATCGGAAAAATCAAGAAAATCACAAACGTTCAGGGAAGACTTAAAGGCAAAAAGAAAACTAACTTCCTGTCAAGTTAATTGCTAAATTTAATGACACCAATGACAATATATAAGGAGCCCCAATGGTGCAGTGGGTTAAGTGTTAAGCTGCTAACCGCAAGGCTGGCAGTTCAAACCCACCAGCTAACCCACAAGAGAAAGACGAGGCTGTCTGCTCCTGTGAAGATTTATGGGTTGGGAAACGATAGGAGCATATGGAAACCATAAGCTTCGCTATCATTCAGAATTGACTCAACGTCAGCGAGCTTGGCATTTGGCTTTGTAATGACAATAAAGACAAGATTCTTTTTTTGCCAAGTCCAAACAGTGTCTGAAGTACATGTGGAAGTGTGCACGATTAGAAAGAAAACAGTCAAGGTGGATTGTACCTAGACATTACACTTCACTATCATATAACACTATGATAGTTTTAACGTGTGGAACAATTTGGCACAGACCACAGGAGCGAGCAACAGTACCTTGGTTTGAGGGCCCCTCCTCACAGTAGGAATGTCAGTGCCCTGCAGTCTCTGCTTCAGGGAATTAAAAGGCTTGCGCTTTCTGCTGACGAGTTTCCTGCATATGGGTCCATGCCTTGCCTAGAAGGGATAGGTAGGGATCGGTACTTCACAATTGCACAAGCACAAAGTGTTCAGGAGCTTGTCTACTTATACAGCCCCCCCACTACCCAGGGCCTGGGCTGCATCTGCAGCGCCCCATCGATTCTCTCTCAAGTCCCAGCACAGCCAATCCATCTGGCTTCCCTCATACACGCTCCATATCATGAGAGTCTGTGCTTGGGCCAAGGCAATGGAAGGCCTCTCCAGAAAAGAGGTTTCTTTCCAATCTAGCTTCATGTATTTAGCTCGGTAACGTGGGCAGAACTCCCATCGCTCAATCTGAAGTCCTTCAAGTTACACAGCATTTTGAGTACAAAAGCCGAGGGGACCGGGATCCCTACATAAAGCCTCTGTGGCGTGCCATTTGGGGATTATGCTCAGATCTCTGGCTTCCAATTTGGGTATTCTTCCATAGTGGCTATATAACACACAGCAGCTATCATTTACACCGTTTCTTTGTCTCAACCCAGGGTCTCTAAAAACCACCGAGCCTGCCTGGCTAAGAATAAGCCCTATCACTTTAGACGAAAGGACAGAGGGATATCAAATCACTTGATCAAACACTCTCTAGGCTAGAAATAGGCCAAAGAGTAGAAACTCAAGAGTACATAAGACACACTTGACATTTAGTGAGTCCTCTTCAAATGGGGGCCCTGGGACTCAGACCCGTTCTCAGGGGTGCAGCCTCAGAGCTGACAAAAATCAAAGGCAGCCCATTGGTGGGTTCTGGGTTACAAGACGCCTGGGGGGGGGGGCCCCCTCTAGCTTCAGGAACTGGGCACCTCAGTTAATCAGGTAAGCAAATAGTTCATCTTTCAAGTTCCCTTGGGAAATAAAAACCTACAACCTCATTTTTGAGTCATTCTAAGTCTTCTTGTTCTAAAATGTCCAAATGAACAATTGCATTATTATCTTAGATTATATCATCTTCCTTGGGAATATCTTTATAACATCGGTGGCCCCTCACACATGTTTGAATCTCTCATGTTGAAATAAATCAAGCGTTTACTGCCATGACACAGCCATCTACCAGGAGCCACGACTGCAGCAGGCTCGAATCTGGATAACAGCAAGTAGAGCTCAGGAGAGGTCTCCCCTCCATGCGTGGTTTTGCTCCAACTGTGCCAACACCCTAAAATGGAAGGGGTCTCTCTTTGCACGGCAAAGCAGAACGCAGGGAGGTTAAAAGACTGCTGAGAATTAGTGACAATGTTTCAGCCAGTAGCCACGTTTCCAGATGTCCCAAATCCAACGCTCTTCTCTCTCGACTCATTCATTTATTTCCCCGGTGCTTTGGCCTTGCCATTTGAATCTCTGATGCTTATAGGAAAGGCCAAAGAGCCCACACCTCTCAAGGGATCATCAGCTGTGCCACGGCCACTTCCATCTGGCATCCTTTTTGTAAGAGAACTGTGTTGAATGGTCGTTCTTTTGAATGAGGCGGCATCCAGCTGCCTCTCTGTCTGCTGGGCCTGCCCGCCATAGGTTACGCACCCTTCTCCCTTCCCTGGCTTCCCCTGCACATCTGTCTCTAATCTCTGCTGCTGCCGCCTCCTCACTGCTTTCCAGTTCATTTCACTCCAATGAAACACGTCCACACAATGTCTGTTTACCAGAACATCTGCTGCAAAGCGTCTTCCACACACTTCACAGGGAAACAGTTCCTGATTGCCATCTGCAGAAGATCCAAGAGGACATGATGTTAGTGTCCCAGGCTTGCCTGGTGCCTGACCACAGGAGGCCCGGAGAGGCGCAGGGTCCTCACGCGCTCTCCGCTCCTCCTCGAGGGGGCTGCTTTGTAAACTCACCTGTGTTTGCCTTTCCTAATGTAAACATCACACTTCACGGAATGAGGGCATTCCATATTCCTCAGGCAACCGTAACACAACGATTTGCTTGGACATGTACAACATCCTTGAACTGAGTGTCTGATGACTCTGCTTTAGACTTAAAAGTTAATATCGTCGTGTGCCTTTAGTATGTTGTCGTCGTCGTCATTGTTGTTAGGGGCTAGAGGGGGGGTTCTGACCCATAGCGACCCTGATCACAACAGAACGAAACCCTGCCCGGCCTCCCCCCAGTCTCACAATTGTGCCTGTGTTTCCGTCCCTGGTTGCAGCCACTGGGTCCATCCATCTCGCTGTGGGAACTTAGTACAGAGTCCGTAATGGCCCAATGATAACATCTGACCAGAATGCAGAGGTGGAGACGATGCCTACTAAATCCACATTCAACAAGCAGACTGTCCCACGGGTAAAGGGCTATTGAAATGCTTGTTGAATGTGTCAGCCAAACAAGCGTTAAGTTTCTACTGTAGATGTACTCATTCCTTCAATAAATAATCCCATATCTGCTATATGCATGACAGTGGAAACATTGAGAGGCTGTACTTGGGTCCAGTCTAATAAAAGAGAGAAAGTATGTCCATAAATAATTTTAAGGTAGGAAAATGTCAAGCGAAAAGCAAAACATTTAGGAATTCTGGGGGAAAGTTTCCTTTCATAGGACTTCCTTGCAGTTGCTCTAGAGGTGCGTGTGGAACCCATTGGAGCCGCAGCTTGAGGTTGGCCCCAGAGAACATTTTATATTTGATTAATAGTCTGGACTCATTCTACAAGTGAGGGGAGCAGTGAAGGACACAAGTGGGAAGAACATAAACAGAGCTTGAGGAAGATTAATGCGACAGTGGTGAGGAGGGATGGGTGGAGGAGAGGAGGGACGGGGAGGGCAGCGTAGAAGCCGGTGTTGGAGGCCTGCAATGGGACACACTGCGGTCCACCAAGTCAGTCACAATCCGACTAGATTGGTGAGGAAGGGGCTGGGTGGGGAGGGGGCAGGACGAGGAGAGGAGGATTATGGGAAGCAGGGCCGCAGGACTAAGCTGCTGCTGGACCTGGCAATAGAAATAATGCACTCAAAAAAAAGGCAGGGCCGTCTCTCTAAGAGAAGTGGCCTCAGCTTTCAAGTTCGAAGTTATGAACCAAGCAGGATGGAAAGGAGGGAGGTCAGGGCCAGAGAAGCAGATTTGACTTTGGGGAATGAAGGCCTTTCACTTCAAAAGTTCCTACCTCCAACAAACGGGTCATGGAAAGAGAAGTAGAGGAGAGATTGTGGGGGCACCCTCTGTTGAGGGGCCAAGAAGATGACACCGAGCCAGAAAGACAGATGTGGTGTTTTGTAACATCAGTCTCAGCCCACAGAAATGCCCCTCTCCCTTCCTGTTCGTGTGGCCTTCTGATTCTGTCAAGGCTGCCTTATGTTCTGTTTTGGTTCCCCAACATGCTATCCCAACCTCTCACTTGTGAATAAAACCGACTCGCTCTAATTGGAAAATAGCTGCTTCATTTTGCTCAACACATAACTCTCTCTTTCGGAAGATGACAAGAACCTATGCATAATGCTCTCCTCTTCTCCAAAGACTTTCCCGGGGTGATCTCATCTGCTCCTTGCAGCAACAGGAGGAAACAGGGTGGGCATTCGTTTTATGTTACAGAGAAAGGAGAAAAAAAATGAGGCTCAAAGCTTGGTGACTTGCCCCCAAACCCCAGGTAGTAAGCAGAACCCACTGCTGTCAGGTTGATTTCGAAGCATGGTGACCCTATAGGACAAGCGAGATCTACCTCCTCAGGCTTCCAGGCTGGTGTCCTTACCGAAGCACACTGCCACGTTTGCTCCCACGGAGCAGCCAGTGAGCTCAAAGAATGGCCCGGACCGATCCATTAGTCAGTTAAGTGTCTGCTCCCGGTGTCACCAGGGCATCTTTGTAAGCAGACCACAGAGACTCAAACCTGGGTCTTACTCTGTACAAGACTATTCCTTCAACCATCACTACAAATACAGACATGTAGAGGAATATATATATTGAGACCCCAAACAAATACCTTGCAATGGCGTTGACTGTGATCCTATAGGCTACAGTAGACCTGCCCCAGGGAGTTTCCAAGACTGTCATCCTTTTTTTCTCACTCTTCATTGTGATTTAGGTAGGGGTTCCTATTTTAGATCATCATTTTTTAATTCAACAATTTAAACACTCTATCAAGCCTCCCATTGGTCTGCCCTGTCCTCCCTCCCATTTGTCTCCTTTCTTCCTCTTGTAGAATTGTATCCTCCCCTTCCCCTTAGCAAACACATGTTCACCCCGTCCTCTCTTCCCTTCCCATTCCTGGTAACCATCAAAGTCTGTTTCTTTTGATCTGAAAAACCTTTATCTTGATTTTTTTCCTTCTAGAACAATGGTCTCATGCAATATTTGTCCTTTCATGTTGACTGTCACACAGCATAATGTCTCCCCAATCCATCCGCGTCAGGTGCTGCTGCACAATTTCATCATTAGTCTATAACGATATCTAAAGCATGCCATGGTGTGTATGTACCAGGTTTACTTATCCATTCTTCAACGGATCGGCATTTAGGCTGTTTCCATCTTTTTTGTGATTGTCAACAGTGCTGTGACGGACATGGCAGTGTAGATGTAGATGTCTATTTGTGTTCCAGCTCTAACTTCTTCAGGGTAGCAATACCAAGAAAAAGGACCACTGGGTCACAAGGTATTTCCCGTCCCAGTTGGACAAAGCACCATCCCTCTTTCCCCAGTGGTTGAGCAGTTTTTCAATGCCACTTGGCAGTGTTTGCGGGTTCTAACCTCTCAGCACCCTCTCCAGCATTGGGGTGAGGCGGTATCTCATCATTGTTTTGGTTTGCATCTCTCAGATGGCTAGTGATCACCAGCATTTCTTCATCTTTCTGGCTGCCTGTCTGCTCTGTACATGTCCTCTGCCCATTTCAAAATTGGATTACTCCTCATCTTCTGGGGCAGTCTTCTGTAGATTTTTGACATTAGCCCCTTATGTGTAATTGTTGAAAAATGTGGCCCCGTCTGTGGATTCTTTCTACTCTCGTGATGAAGTCAAACCTAACGAGTCCAAGCCCTGCCCCTGCCCGCCGGCCTCCCGTTCCATCCTACCCCCCTTTCCCGACTTCCCTGCAGCCTTCCAGTCAATCACTCCGTCGTCTCTCCCTGTGCGCTTGGGAGCCTCTGACGTTCGTTCCCTTTGGTCTTTGTCTTAGCTTTGATACTTTGAGGAGTGATCTTAGACACTATTTATCCTAAGTGATTGGCTAACTTTGCTCAGCATAGTGTCCTCCCAATCCATCCATGTCAGGAGCTATTTCACGGTTTCATCCTTGTTTTGCAGTTATGCATAATATTGTGTGTATGCCCCAAATTCGTCATCTTTTCTTCTACTAGTGGACATTTTATTGGGGCTGTTTGCAGATTCTTGCTGTTGTGGAAGTGTTGCAGCGAACATGGGAATACATCTGTCTGCTCACGTTATGGATCTTACCTCTTTAGGGGATGCACACCCATCAGAAGTATTGCTGGGTCATATGGCATTTCTATTCCCAGTTGCTTGAGGTAGCACCATATAGCTTTCCACACGGCTGTACAGATTTACAGCAGTGTGAGAGTTCCAATCTTTCGCACCATCTCCAAAATTTGTTTGTGTGTGTGTGTGTGTGTGTGTGTGTGTGTGTGTGTGTGTGTGTGTGTGTGTGTTTGAACTGAGTTGCCATGGTTGGTGAAGGTGATATCATTGTTTTTGTGTCTCCCAGGTAGTTAATGATTGTGCGCATATTTCATATGTGTGTTAGCCATTTGGATTTCATTTTTGGTGAACTGTGTGTTCATGTCCTTTGCATACTTGTAAACTTGATTATTCATTTTTTTCTTATTGAGGTATTGTAGTTTTTCATAAATTTTAGAGATTTGCCCCTTCTCTGACATGTTGTTACTAAAGAGGCTCTCTTGTTACTCTTCAAAGGCACAAAGGTGTCTTATGTTTCGTAGGTTCTCAGTCATCTATTTTATCTTCTACTGTGTTCCTTTTGTTATATTTAACTCTGTGTCTGTGCCCTACAATCAGGCCTTAAGTTTGCCCTTATTTTCTCATTGATGATCGTTAGCGCTGGGATTTACATTGAGGGATCTGATCCATCTAGAATTCATTTTTGCAGATCGGGTGTGCTACGGCTCCTGTTTCAGTTTCTGTAGATGGAGGTCCAGCTTTACAAGCACCATTTCTTATAGAGACTATTCTCTCCCACTCACTGTTTGTTTTTAATTAAAAGATCATTTTATTAGGGGCTCTTACAGCTTTTATAATAATCCATACATCAATTGTATCAAGCATATTTGTACATAGGTTGCCATCATTTTCTTTAAAAAAAAAATTTTTACTGGGGGCTTGTACAATTCTTATCCCAATCCATACATCAATTGAATCAGGCATGTTTGTACATATGTTGCCCCCATTCTCGTCCAGACATTACTTTCTATTGAGCCCTCAGCACCAGCTTTTTTTATCTCCCCCCCTCCCCCTCCCCCTCATAGCCCTCTGATAGATTGTACATTGTTATTATTTTCATCTCTCATACCAACCTCTGTCTCCCTTCCCCCATGTTTTATGTTGTTCTTCCCCCTGTAGAGGGGTGTATGGTTATGTGTCGATCATTGGGATCAGTTCCCCCTTTCTCCCTTCCTCTCCTCCTCTTCCTCCTACCCTTCCAGCATCACCATTCCCACTCCTGGATTCTGTGTGTCATGAGCTCCCGTCCCTTTCTGTACCTGTGTGCATGTTCCAGTCTAGTCTGAACTGGGAAGCTGCACTGGGGTCATGGTAGTGGGGGGTGAGGAAGCCTCAAGGAACCAGAGGAACATAGAGTGTTTCATCAATGCTTTACTGCACCCTGGTGACTCATCCCCTCCTTGTGGCCCCTCTGTGGGGAGATTGTTCCACTATCTACAGATGGGCTTTGGATCTCCTCTCCAGCCCCCCTCATTCTCAACAATATGTTTTTGTTTGTTATGTGTCTGCTGGTGCCTATTACCCAGTCCCTATGACCACTCATGAACGCACTGGCTGTGTGCTTCTTCCATGGACTTGTTGCTTCACTGCTGAATGGCAGCTTGTGTAACTTCAA